TAGCCACCTCTTGTATTAAATTGGCTCTTAGATCCAGCCAAAGACTCCACTAAGAACTAAGAGGAATATCTAACGCACATGTGTTACATACTTTATATCTATGCACATACACAATTATCCACATTTTACTTATGAAGAAACTGAAATGTAATGGTCTGATCATTTACCTAAGATATCAACTATTAGGTTGCAAGATTAGCATCGATACATGTTTGTCTGTCTCTAGAGCCTAAAGTCTAGATTACTGGATAAACAGTTCAGCACTCACCATACAGACCCCAAGAAAGAGTGTGTACTGAAGTGTTGAGAAATGTTCCCTAAGAACTGTGTATCCAACAGAGGTGAGTCTGGAGGAGGGGTTCAGTGCTCATGAAGTATGGCTCACCAGATCTTTCTGGGATGTTTACACTTGTCTGTAGTTTCCAGAAGAACTTGATGGCTGGCACCATGCCAAGGACTAATCAATACCACTTCCAGTTCCAGGCTACTGGCCTCTTTTAGCCTCTCTTTGGGCATGTTGCGTAAAAGATCCCTTTTTTCCTAGAAGTTGGGTCCACCCAGGTACAAATGTATGTTATGTCCCTTCTGTTACTTGACCCCAGAGACGGTCCACTCATTTCTACCCAAAAATAACAGGACTCTTTCCCCCCAACACAAACTTGTCACTGGATGTTAGTACAACTTTCCATTTTTCCTTAATTTATTATTTTCTTTTCCCTTTTATATTTCCTTTTTAGAGAAATGCTTCTTTTTCTTTTTGAATATGTAAGTTATGCATAATTGCTTTAAAATTATATAATCAGCATTCTTCATGAATATTTGTCTGCTTTAATTAAGGTAGAGTTACTGGGTGAAACAACATAAAATTCTTCAAGGCTTTTGAAATCTGATGCCAAATTGCTCTGTAGAAATGTTGGATTCATTGCTTTGCTATGAGCAATGCCTATGACCACTGGTTTCACTGTACCCACATCAGCATCAATTATTCAATTTTAAAAGATCCTCTTTCTAACTTGATGAATAAAAAGAACATATCTTTTTTCTATTTGCATTAATTTAAATAATCACATGAAGTTGAACATTTTTGCATATTTATATTTCTTATTTGGTAAATTGTTCATGACTCATCTAATTTTGAAAATCAGATTTAAAACTTGGCTTAATTATTCATGGCATCTTTACATTTAAGGTAATTAAAAATAGATATAATTTATAAATTACATTTTTATTATAAATAAGATATACAAATATGTTAAGTACATAAGTATATAAATATAGAACTATCTTAAGTTGAAAATATCATTAAGTCAAAAGAAAATGCATGTAATCCACCTAACCCATCAAGTACCCTAGGTTGGCAACACAGGGCACTGAAGAAGGTCAGGTGTTCACCCTCTTGATCCAGGGCTGACTAAGAGCTGTGACTTACTGCCCCTGTCCAGAGTTGAAAGAGGATTGTACCACATATCACTTGCTTGGGAACAAAATCTAAAACTGAAATTCTAAGTAGACTTTCTACTAAATGTGCATCACTTTTGCATGATTGTGAAACTGAAACAATCCTAAGTAAACCATGTTCGGTAGGGTACCAGCCATATATAGTTGGTGAAAAAATCACTATTATTATAGTGTGAATTTAAGTCAAGGAAGAGAAGGTAGGCATTTAATGGTACACTATAAATATAGCCCCAATGAACCGAGTTCAGTGGCACACATCAGTAATCCCAGAAACTAGGGAGGATCTGAATCTTCCTCAGCAGGAGGATCACACCTTCCAGGTCAGTCTTGGAAACTTAGTAAGATATGGTCTCAAAATAAAAATTAATGAAAGGACTATGGGTATAGCTCAGTGGTAGAGCATACCTGGATTAAAAGCCACATTGAGGGTAACAAGAACTAAATCCTGTGAGGAAGTCTAGGAAACTGAGACAGAGGGACATGGGGTATGTACCAACTCCAGTTAATCACTAGTTGAGGGTTCATGGAGGGGAGTGGACATTACTTCTCTACCACTTCAGACCTGAGCAAAATGACCCCTCCATCAAATAGATGCAGAAGAGGCCATTTGAATTCACTCATATTTATTGCAATGGTCAGCCCAAGGGATGAGGTCTAGCCATCAGTCTGAGTTACTTGTTTTCCTATACTTTTCTTATGTGTTAATTACATTTTATCCTATCAGAGAAATACATAAATCTCTATCCCTATCATAAAATATTTGTTCTTTATAGATTGTGACTCTAGCCTTTCCTACATTAAAATGCTTCAAAGCTATTGCTTCCCTTGATCAATCACTTTTTGCTATATAAAATAACATATGCTGGATTTTCACCATGTGCCATTCTGAATTATGTAGTTTACAAGAATTGTTTAATTAATTTTCATTTAGTTCTCTGAAAAAAATCAGGATTACCATTTCCAGTTTCCAACTGGGTAAACTGAGACTTGGAGATTAAATAATATTTAGAGCTGCCATTTGACCCAACAATCTACTTTTGAGCTTTACTCATCCAGTGCTCCAGACTTATTTGCTGACTTGAGGTGGTATCCTCCCCTGCCCTCATCCCTGGTGCTCTGACACTTTGTTATGTACATGTTATGCTAGGTCCTCTTAGCTTTGAGGGCCTGGGTTAAGAAGTCAGACGAGATCTGGATTGGTTTCCCCCTACATGGAATCAGATATTTTTATATTGCGGCCTTTAAAATTCAGTCTTTATTATGTATGCTAGATATTTTCATTTTAATGTGGCTTGATGTGGGTCTGCTGCAATTTCGAACATTTGGTGTCCTATAAGCCTCTTGCATTTGATTTTCCATGTCATTCTTTGGGGAAGTTTTCTGACATTATTTCATTGAAAAGATTGTTCATTCCTTTGGTTTGTATCTCTGCACCTTCATCTATACTGATAAATCTTAAATTTGCTGTTTTCATGTTAACCCATAATTCTTGGAAGTTCTATTCATGATTTCTTAACATCTTCTCTCCATGATCCACTCTATTGTCAAGATTATATATTTTGTCTTCATTGCCTGAGGTTCTGTCTTCCAAGTGGTGTAGTCTGTTGGTGATTCTTTCTATTGAATTTTTAATTTGGTTTATTTTTTCCTTCATTTCAAGGATTTCTGTTTGTTTTTTTTCCAGAATCTCTATATCTTTATTGAAGTGACTTTTTGCTACCTGTATTTACTCTTTTACATTATCCTTCACTTTGTACAACAGTTTAACTATATATATTCTAAACTCCTTTTCTGACATTTCTTCCACTGCAGTGTTGATGGATTCTGTTAATGGAGTATTTTGGTTTACTTAGGGTGATTTGTTCCCTTGCTTTTTAAAATGTTGTTTGTGTATCTTCCCATCCAACAGTGTGGACACGACCCAATAGAGTTTCTATCCTGTGGACTTATATTGTCCCTGAATGTTTCCAATAACTCCCAGTTTAAGGGGAGATAAATAATAACAGCATCAATGCAAAGAATTTACACCATTAAACCAAATAGTCTACTATGACACCTACAATGTTATTTATCACAACAAACAGAAATAACATAATCAGTTATTACCTATAATAGTAACACCAAGTTTGCAAAAGAATATACATTTTCAAATGGTGAACAGGGAGAGAACAGAAGTGATATAGGATGTGATAATTATGAGGGAGGAGGAGAGAAGACAGAAGTAAAAGATTAAAGAAAAGTGAAAGAACAATAGAGATTGGCTATTAGCAGAAGAGAGAAACAAGGGAAATAAGTAGGAGAAAAAAATATATATATAAAGCAAAAAATTTTCAAAAATAAAAGAATACAAAACAAAACTCAAATATACAAATTAAACATACTAGTTCATAAAAATAACTGGCTTCAAAAATGCTAGAGATAAAAAGAAAAAAAATAAGAGACTGTATAAATGTCCATGTACCATTAAGTTCATAATTAAACAGTGAAAAAGAATTTAAAAATTTAAAAAATCTAAATGAAAAGTTTAAAAGTTAAAGAATTCTTTCTGTTGGAGTTTAAAATATTCTTGGCTTCTCCTCTCAGCAGTTTTAGGTGGAGTCTTCTGAAGTGTGATGCTCCACCTTCTGGATTGCTGGAGTGAGAGAGCTAATTCCATAGGCGGAGTTCCTAGAGGCAGGGTTTAGGCTTAGGTGGGCTCCAGGCTTTTCACTGAATGCTAATTGGTTTGGAGATTTTTAAATCAGTGCACCTGCAATGCCCAGTACTGTCTTGTCCATGCTGGAGGACATTACCCCAGGGCTCCCCTGGTTTCCACTCGTGTAGTGGGGGAGCCAATTCTTAGTTCCCTACCTCACCTGCAGACTCCATGTTTCCTGGTGTGGTGTTCAGTCTCCAAACAATTTCTCCCACCCCCACCCTTCCAAGTTCTCAGATAGATGCACCTCTCCCAGCCAGTCCTGTAAGCAGTCAGATTGGAGGGGGAGATGGAGAGCCAGGTGGGATTCACCAACCAGTTGTCTCCTGTGTAAAACTCTCTCCATGTTTGATTTTCTTCTGGTCACTTAAGCACACTCTATGTTATGCAGCATGTGTTTACTGGGCCTGTATTTCGGGCCAAACTCAGGTTTCCCTGGAATTGGCTTCCTTAGTTGCCAGCCCCCAAACCACAACTGCAAAATGTTTCCTTTGTTTGTCCTCTGCGGGCCACCAGGAGAGATGGCAGCTTTTTTCCCCACACTCAGATATCATGCAGTGCATTCTTCAGGTTTATGGGGCAATGTCCTTGGTCTCTTAATGCTCAGTACCCAGACGCACCTCTAGGGTACCAAAAATTCAGATTCCTTTAATTCCCTTATCCCTCTACTATGCTCAAAGAGGGACCACTCTGGCTGGAGCTTCAAGCCCGGCTGTGGCAGCAGCTGTGTTGCTGGGGATTTTTTCCTGATTTTATTATATTCAATCTCCTGTGTCCCTGGTCTGCTTTAGATGTCCAGTTTTAGATTCCAGTAAATTATGCCCCCCACCCTTTTTGATTCACTCACCTTGCTAGAAGCTGCCTGTTTGCTTTCTTGGTTTTGAGCTGTGGAGCAACCAGGAATGCAACCTCTTTTACGCCACCATCTTGGATCTCTCCTCCTTGCCACTCTTCAACCTCCAGCACACCGAACCACTGTCAATCACTTCCTTTTCTGATGTTTTATGAGAATTGCAACATCCACATTGACAGTCACAAAGAGGCACCTTTTTTTTATATAGAGGTGATATTAAAGGAAAGTGATTTGCTAACAATTGTCCATGAATGGCAGAAACACACCTGGGGTAGAGGAGCCACTGGCCCAACATCAGAAAGTAACTGTGATTTATTCCCACTTTGGAGGTGGATGTGACAATACTTACTTTGGGAAAGAATCTCTGGTATGTCCCCACTTTCTTTCCAGTGAGAGGTTGTTCTATTTCCAGTGTAGTTTCATACTTCACCTATTGTTATTCCATTTTATCCCATGACTACAGACTCCAGTAATAGTCAGCCTCTTATTTTGACATTGTGAACTGTCTTTTCTTTATCCGGTGTCTCCATTTCTTCACACATGATTTTCTGGGAAACTGGGAGACCAAATAAGAGGGAGATGAACCAGATAACTTTTTAAATGACCAACCCATACATTAAGGGACACATCTCACCCCTCATCAGCCTTCAAGGCCCCTATCCCCTTGAACCTTACTAAAATTTCTTTTCATTATCTCCATTTTAGAATTCAAAATATCAAGCAAGGAAAAGTGATTTTTTTGGTCATTACAAACATTTTTAAGTACTTAAAATCCAGTTCATTCATTTGAGAATAGAACTAGTTTTGTCATTATTTTAGGGATGAGGGATTTTTTAAAAATTCTAACTAAATTAACCCGTTGCTTTTGTTTCACATAGTCATAATCTTAATTGAATATGATCTTAAAATATTTATAAGGAGGGTAAATAAATAAACTAATATTTTAATATTATTTGAGTCCATCTTAATTCTTAAATCTACTTGGAAATCACTATAATGCCTTGATACTCTAGTTGATGCTTTGGTTAATGTGACATTTAAAGCAAAACATTTCAAAAACTTTCATTCTGTAGCTTATTTTTACCATTGAGTTCTTATGTGTCATTGTTGGTTGTTTTTTTATATTTATTTACATATTCTTGAACTCATACCAATCTATTCTAAAACAAATTACCAGAAACATATGGAACCATATTTAACCAGTTTGTAATTAGATATATATTTTTACATACTTTTAAAACTTTAATAAGATGGCGTTTGTAACTGTTGTTATTTAATTCACAGCCAACATCCTTTCTTACCTAAATTAAAACCTTATTGGAGACATTTATTCAAACTGTAACTGTTTTCTCTAATGAACTACCAATTCGTTTCCCTACACAGCATGTTCTAATTTGTGCTTGTAGTGCTTTCTAGAAGCATATGGAGACCAACTGTGGTTATGTTTTGGGATCTTCTGTACAAAAACATGGTAATTGCTTTTGTTTTGCTGATTGCTCTCTAAGACAGTTTCAAACCCTTTCAACTTTCTTTGTCCATGAGTTTTTTAATTGCAAATCCCCTTCTACTTTGTCAGATGAGTTTCATATGATGTGCTTATTGGCTAGGGCTGGTGAATCTGTCCAGAGATCCTGTGATCTTTAGGAAAGATCAACCTCTTGCTCATAATTGACAAATTGTTCCCAGATATCAGACATCATCAGACTTGTTATTTCCATGGTGCCATAAACACAAAAGCAGAAGAGACATAAAAGGTAAGAGGCCTTTTGCAACATAAAAGAGAAAGCAAGATTGGCATATCCTTTGCTTATTTCAGGGAGTGGGGGTTGGGGGAGATTGTAGCAGCAAAAGATACAATAATACAAGCATCTTCCTGATTGATTAAAGTAGTGAAGTGTATTCTGCGGTTCATAAATAATGCTCTATTACTTTTCTTCAAAGACAAGTAAACCTTGACAGACTGACCTTTTCCAGGGCAGGAGTTGTTTCAGTGCCATAAATTATACTGTAAAACGAGTGGAAATGCTACTGAGAAGTGTGTGACAAAATAAGATTAAAGATTACTACACACAAAAGATTGTTGTTTTATTAATGGATTCCTGTCAATGGGATAAAAAATCCTCCATCTTCTACTGGATCGTGAGATCACGTCAAGCTGAAAATTAGGGGAACGTTTTCTAAGAGGTAACTGAATGTGTCAAAATAAGGATATTTTGATTTTTTTTTCTTCCTCCTGAATTATATTGGTTTCTAAAACAAATTTAGTTATTGTCAAAGATGCTTGTACCATCCGTAGTCATTTGCTTGCAAAGACTGGCTTTGATCATGCAGTTGGCTGACTTCTGTGTTATGTATGCAGGTGTCGGGAGATTACAGGGAAACACTTTGCTGAACAGAAGCATGGAGCGCTATCTTCATCAGTGTGTTGTGCATCGCCAAGAGGAGAAAGCATATGGTAATTCTAAACCATTAATTTATCTGGTGAACACTCAATCTGACAGAGCCATCCATGTCACTCTGAAGAAAGAAAAATAATCACATAGTGGCTTAAACCGTTAAGAGTGGCACTGAATTTCTCAGTACACTTGTTTCCAATTTTATTGATTTGGAAAAAACAACTTGAAATCATAGAAAGTAAAATAAACACCATTTAACAGACAAGGAAGGACTTAAGTCTACTTGAATTAAAGTTCATGAGATCATGAGAATTCAAGGGCTCTGTGAGCAACCACATTCTGTCAAATACCATATATTGTTCCTTTTAAAGCTGTTATGACTTCATTTTTGTAATCATCCCCACCCATTTTTTATTAAATAAAGACTATGCATTGAAAACATTTTTCCATGGGCTCATTGGAAATATGATTACACTCTTAAACAAACAAACAAACCAAAGTGTAGAGACCCTGGTAGACAAATGGAATCAAAAAAAAAAAAGGAAAAGGAAAAATTCTACAAAGTATTGAAAAAGCATTTTGAATGATACATTTCCATGTTAAACTACACTCAGATGTCATTGCCCTTTATTGTGTGGTACTAGCAGACATGCAATGGAGTAAACCAGAAATAGAAACAAAAAGTCATCCTATATAATTTCATTAAAGTTTCCAGAAGTTTCTTTGGAATTTGATCCACCATGGTTCACTTAAATAAAAAACAAATCTCCTCGTTAGATAGAGCATATGCTCAGCATGGCACGTTGCTATAAATCACTCCTTGTCACAAAGAAGAATAGATACACTGGCTCTGCACTGCTTTGCCATTCTTTATAACTAGGAGGAGGGTATCAGTGTTGCCTTCACTACAGTCAGAACAGAAATGTATGCCTTAATTCATACACACCATTTTAAAGATAGGTGTCAGGAAGCCAAATGACGAAACAATGAGATTATTGTTGCACAGAGCATCCATCTACTTCTCAGTGAACCTCAAAATCTGACTAGTGCATGTGGAGTGCAATGATGAGTTGGAGAAATATTTTGCATGTGCTTTTCATTATCCTTTTCAAAATTTTACATAGGACTTACCTATTCTCTCCAGTACGCATTCTTTTCACTTAGCTTGGGAACTGTTTGAAGACAGATCCAACTATTCACATAAAGTTGGTCTTAGTACAAAAAAAAGAATATATTAAGTGATACTATTTTATGAATCTACCCCAATTTCTCTATTTTTAGAAAAATAAATTAAATAGGTGCTTTTGATGGGAGTTTGGAAGTCACAGTGGATCATGTGCTGCAAACATAGCTTCCTGTTTTTTCTAGAGTATACCATAAGGCTGTGTTCTTCTTTATCCCTCAAGTTCTCTGACAAGGCAGAAGTGAACCACATTTGTTAAGAATTTTCAGAAGTCAATACAGTCTTAGAAAACATCCACAATCTAAGAACCAGAACAAGAGTGATGATTCCCAGTGCAGACATCAAGCTTCTGGGCATCCTGAACATGAGTACCTAATGACTTGTGTTGAGTGTTAACTTTTTTTCCCATAACAGCTGGTTAGCAGACCTATTTTTATATTTTTATCATTAAAAAAAATTCTCTGGTGATCTCTTTCCCATCAGAATATGAACAAGTTATTTATTGATCACTAATAAGAATTTACCAGGCACCTCCCCTGAATCAGTTAGTGGACTTCAGAGCCATCCCAGTTCTTCTGGTGACCTCTCCCTGAAGCTGTTCTGCTTCTATCAGTGGAAGCGAATTCCCCCTGCCTCTCCAAACATTTCATAACTAGAAAACATCGGCTTTCAGACTCAGCATTTAAATTCTCAGTTTTAATGGATTGGATCTAAATTTCTAATTTCACATAGAGAATTTTCTTAAATTACCCAAACTATGTTTTTACTATGATTTCACACAGACATTAACTCATGAATGTCTATCTCCTACTATCTGCACTTGTGCAGCTGAATTCATCTAATTTCAGTGGAACAACATTTTAATAGTAATGCTACAGAGTGTTTCATCCTACCCTTGGAAGACATAATAACTTAAATAGAAAGACTTTGTGTCTACTTAAACATTTATATGCATCTATATGTTTATATCTCAATTTTCATCTTGGGGAAAACTAGGACAGTACCAATGTAAATATTAAGCTCACCTAAGCTGCATTCAGATTAAAAGTGCTCCCCAGTATTCTAATTATAGCAATAATTAGGAAAGCAAAACAGTCAGATTTTTTCACATCTTAGTAAAAGGCAAGTGAGTTTCTTAAAAAAAAAAAACACTCAAAAGAGAGATGTCATGTCTCTTTGACAAGTTAATGTTATTACATTTGTTTCTAATATACATGTCTTAACTTGACTATATATCATACTATTAACCACTTACTAAACTATTGTTATCCACTGATAAAGAGACAGCCAGTAGGTAGCAACATAAGCCCAATTCATGAGCATCTCAAAGGGAGAGGACTCCAGCCTTATCTCAACATTCCCAAACAAAAACCGTATACATAATAGAAAAGGCATGTTTTATTAGATACAAGGAAATTACTTATAAGTAAGAGATACAATTAGTAGTTGTAGAAAGTAATACTGGCAAATTCAACTGCATTGAAATTTAAAATTTAAACACCATCAAGAAAGTTAAAACAGGAGCAACAGACTTAAATATAAAAACATAAAAAGCAATATTATTTATAAGTTAAAAAATCTCAAATAAGCCAGTGGCACAACAGAAAAGATATGAAAGCACAAGTCACTGGGTAATATAGAAAATGAATATAAAGAATTTTGATCCATTCATTATTAAGCAAGAATGTTAATAGAGGCATTTATATCCATCAAATTTTAAGTATGTAGAAGAAAATTAACCAACATGGGCTGGTTTTAAGAAAACCATTTGGCAAACTAGTTGTAATTGATGGAAGGGAATACGGTACTGGCTTCAGCTACTGTATGAAAGATGAAAGTATTCACCAAAGCTCATAAAATCTTATGGTACTCAGGCCAAGAAACTGAGCCAAAAAAAAAAAAAAGTCAGATGATGAATCCAAGTCATAAGAATCTTATGTGGTAGAACCTGGGTTTGCAATTGGCCTTCTGACTTTT